TTCTGGACCCCATTACAAATCCTTCTTTTGGGGATCCTCTGGCTGCAACCTCCTACACTATTAATACTTTGAGTAATCAACTCAGTGCTTTGGGCCAATTATGAAAACACATAATGAAACTGGAAAAGCCAGTGTTGGTGCTGCCTGTCACCACCAGAACCAACAAGTAGAAACAAGAGTTGAATCTTTATCACCACTTTATTCATATGGTCGGCAATCCGAAAATACATCAGGTTATGTACCCTCAAAAACTGTCTTAACATCTCATTTTAAGTTGATCTCTTTATAAGAAGGAAGGATGGGTAAGGGGTTTGGGGAAAAAGTTAGATAGAAGGATAAGTAGGGAGTTTGGGGGGAAAGGGGGAAAAAGTTTAGTTGAATAAGAGTTGCAATCCAGCTGTGATTTTCCTACTACTTTATCTGTCAATCAACAATTCTTTATCTGCATTACTAGTGTTCAGTCCCTGGAACACAAAGGCTCAGGTACTGTCTCCATGGCTTGCAGACCCCCTGGGTTACAAGGTTGAATTACTTGTCGAATTTCTGGAGTCACTGTGGTCATACATTCTAGTTCCCAAAATAACAGATTTCCACATGCCCGTCAACAAAGGCTAGAATCTTTAACTCTTGAGTTCCCTCTAACAATGATACAATTGTAATGGAACAGGGAAATTTGAAATTGGAATACTGGGAATAATTTAATGATGGAACAAAAACTTACCACAAAAGATCTCAGAGGTACTCAGTAAAAACAGAGCTTAGTGGTTAGCCACAAAGCAGCCCTGAGATCTCCTTCCTAGTTCAGCAGAACAGTCCTGCTATAGTCATGTAATAGCTGGTCTGGACTGATGAGAAAAGTGGCCTATAAGGTGGGTTTGTCCTTAAGACTCAAAACTAGCCATGAACAGTAACATTGGAAACAGAATCTGTACCTCTCTGAGCCTCACAAGAGGCTTTAATACTAAATAAAAATGGCAATGGGTGTCTATGTTTAGCACCTGAGAAATATTATTTGGATGTTAGAACAATTACCAAAGGGTCTACATCATCATGTAAGTGTGGGGTTACCTGTGCAATTGAAAGGAATGCAGGACAAGTGTACTGGGTCCTAAAGGAAAAACATGTTAGCTTGTCAGGCTCTGGAGTTATGGTATTTTGCCATGTGTAATGTGCACCCATGTTTTTTTCCCAAACTTTCAGGAAAAAAATCTTTTGTTTTAATTTTTTAATTCAATTTTCTATTTATTTATATTCAGATACTTGTTTTTTGCATTAAAAGGCATTTTAGCATTTATTTTTTTAACATTATGGTACAAGAAATTTTATATAACAAATAATTACAAAACACAAGAACATATACAAGATATTTCAGGTACTACCCATGTATAATGTGCATCCTTATTTTTGCCTCAAAAATTTGGGCAAAAAAGTGCATATTATACATGGCAAAATATGGTATGCTATTCCTTAGGCTCCAATTGGGTAATGTTAGCGAACACCAAGTGGAGTCCTGCTGCCTGCTGCCACCCTCTAGGAGGCAAAGGTTTGGTGGGTGATAAAGGCAAGGAGTCTTTATTCAAAAGCTACTCAATTTTGGAATAACAACTTTCCACAGGCATTAGTCCACTTACGCTTTAATCACTTAAGCCTATCAATTAAGGCTAAAATCTTTAACTACTGAGTTCTGGTATCATTTTCCCTGTTAGTTTTTGATTATCTTATTTCTATAGGGTTAGTTTACAAACTGAAACAACAGAAGATACAAAAGCTACACCATTTTAGAAGAATGGCAAGCTTCTGCCTCAGAGCTTGTCCCCTTTTAAACACCTAAAGGGTAAACCTGCCACCCTCTGCCAGGCCAGCCAGATCCTGTGCTGTGCCCAGAGTTGTTCTCCCATCCAAAATCTATCCAAAATCCTTCCAAAATACCATCCTTAGGGAAATGCAGGCAGCTGCAGCATGATCATCCAGGAATCCTCAAGGAAGAGAGATGAAGAGGTCTCTGTCCTCTTTTTATTTCAAATCTTCTCGCCCACAATTCTGTGCACTCTGGAGGTATTCAGCTCCTCAGCCAATCCTGTGCTAGACTGTTTACCATTGCCTCGGGCAACCTCCTACCGCCCCTCCCTACTCCCCAGTGCTCTGATCAGATCTCTCTGTGTAAAACTTTGTGGGTAACTACAAAATAATCTTCAAATGGTTAATCATGTGAAAATGCAAACAAGAAAGTCTTCACACAGTTTGTAAAATTAATGTAGGCCACAGAAAAATTTTTACACTCTGCTTACCAGTGGCATCAGGACTTACTGATGCTAGAGGAATGAGTCCCTAGTGGGACTCCAACCTAATATGGTTCTTGGTTTTGAGCAGGAAAGAATTCAAGCCAGATAAGAGGCTGAAGTGGAAATGAGACAGGCCAGTCAGCCAGCACAAATGGAACAGGGAAACCGACACTGAGAGGTAAATGACCAAGCAGTTTAGAATCATCTAGTAAATTGCAAAATCCTATCTTTCTTAAACCAAAGATATTTAACAGAAAATGGTTTAGCGCCCTGGCAGGGTAGTTCAGTTGGTTAGAGCATTGTCTTGAAACACCAAGGTTGTGAGTTCAATCCCCAGTCAAGACATATACGAGAGTCAACCATAAGTGTACAAATAAGTAAACAAATTGATTTCTTTCTCTCTCAGATCAAGTTTTAAAAAAGTAAATGATTTACACTTTTCCTCCCAAACCAGAGAGTAAATAGCTTGCAACACCTACTCAGGGAGATGGATTGCAGAAATCCAGTTGGTGCCATTGGTGCCAACCACACCCAAGGATGGATGAAGTCAAGGGGAATAAATCTCATTTGGGCACATCAGCATAAAGCTGATGAATATTCTATTGAGATTCTCCTTGTAAGACCTTAAGGTCCCAGCCTTCAAAATCCACAAGATGAAGGACCCTACACTCTTGCTCTCTGCACTCCTGGAAGAGCAGCACCCCCACCCCCACCCCCACCACCCCACCACCCAGGACTTAGCCTTTCTCCCTCTTAGACCCTGGGAGACCTTCTTTTGCTTCTGTAACTTGTTTCCTGAGCCCACACAGCCCAGCTGGCTCACTCCTACTATCTCTGTAACTTTCTAAATAAAGTTTCTCTTACAATTTGAGTTTATGACTGGGAATTCTTTCTTTGCCAAACTCTAGAACTGAAGTCCAATTTTGCCAGTAATGACTGTTGCCATTTTGCCACCAACATGGTCAGTAACAGTAGCTGATGAGGGGGGCCTCCTCCTGGCTCATCGATGGCCAAGTCTTCACAGGGTGGAAGAGTCTGAGGTTCTCTGGGTCTCTTTTCTTTTCTTTGTTTTATAACTTAATATTTATTGCCCTAATTGTTGTGGCTCAGTGGATTGAGCGCTGGCCTGCAAACCAAGGGGTCGCTGGTTCATTCCCAGTCAGGATACATGCCTGGGTTGTGGGCCAGGCCCCCAGTAGGGGACATGCTAGAGGCAACCACACATTGATGTTTTTCTCCCTCCTACCCTTCCCCTCTGTCTAAAAATGAATAAATAAAATCTTTAAAGAACATACAATTTATTTATTTTAACATTATTTATTTATTATTTCTTTTTAGAAGCAGAAGAGAGGGAGAGAAACATCATTGTGTGGTTGCCTCTTGCTCACCCCCTACTGGGGACCTGGCCTGCAACCCAGGCATGTGCCCTGACTGGGAACGAACCAGCAACCCTTTGGTTCGAAGGCTGGCACTCAATTCACTGAGCCACACCAACCGGGGCAAATTTTTTATCTTTAATTTGAGAGGGGAGGGCAGGAAGAAGGGGGAGAGAGAGAAAACAGCACTTTGTTGTTCATTGGTTGTTTCTTGTTTGTGACCTGATCAGGAATTGAAACCACAATCTTGGCATATCAGGATGATGCTCTAACCAACTGAGCCACATCAGTTAGGACTCGTGACTCCTCTTAATGTCCCCCCAACCTTTAGTCCTGAACCTGTCAGCCCCAAAGCCCGGGAGGTTTGTAGTTCTTGTGTCCACCAGATGATGATGGAAGGGCCTGAAGAGAGGATCTTGGCAAGGCTCTCTCAACAAAGACCTCCAGAGTGTGGGTGCTGGCCCCTCTGGCTCAGTTTGCAGATGTTAGCCACCCTCAGCCCTTGGTCGTCACCCCACCTGCCCTCCCTCCTGGCTTTGAGATTTCTCTGCATCATTATTCTGTCCCCAGCTTACTAGTGGCAACTTCTCCTGCTGAGTCATGTATGCCAGACCACATCTGTCTGCCTCTGTCCCCCAACACTGCTCCTTAGATCTGGAGTGAGTTGGAGGTTGGGGTAAGACATCACCAAGGAGGAGCGCCTCCATCTCAGCCCAGCCCAGTCTCACAAAACCTCTCCCAGCATCTGTGGAGGGGCACCAATGGGGGACCAGGGGTTCGGGACTCCCTTGCTTTCACTGTCAGCCAGCTGGGGGCCTTCACTGAGACTTGCCCTCCCTGTGTTTGCACCTGTGCAAGTCAGGATTTGGACACTGTGACCACTGCTGAAATTATGGGGGGTCTTAGTGGACCCTCAGCTGTCTGGCCCCACAGCAGTGGTCCTGGGTCCCTCCTCTCTCCATAGCTTCAGCAAGGATTTCCCATCTCTGCCTCCATGCTCTCCTCCTGCCAGGGCAGATGGTGGGTGACCACCTGTTCAGGGGGCCAGCTGAAGCAGGAGAGACCCAGGGAGCAGGACCCCAAGTCCTAGTGGACAAGCCTGCAAAGGTGACAGTGCCCTTGTCCTTTGGCCTGAGCCCTCCTACAATCCTCCAAATGGGGACCTCAGACGCTCAGCTCCCAGATCTCTTGAATTTCATTCACCCTCTTCCCATCCATGAGTCCCCATAACAGAGCACCTTCCCATCCATGAGTCACCTCCTCCTGCCCCAAAGCCCTCTGGTAGCTGAATTCCAACACTGTTTCAATAATTTACTGGAAATCTAACATTCAAGCACACACATTTTATTTTTCATATAACGTGCCCATTAACCCTTTGCAGTTCAGTGGCCTAGAAGTTGTCCTAGTAGGACTTCCTCGAACCCTGGGAGGGGCCCTGGGCCCTCAGGTTCCCTGTGGGAGCTGTACCTAGCCCCCCGCTAATGTGGAACAGAGGGGTCTTCTCACAGGCAGGTCAGGGCGTGTGGCCTCGCACAGTCTCCCTTGTGGACGCTTGCAGGACTTTCCCAGGCTTGTCCCAGGGCTGCCTGCTTGCGCTCCACATACAGTCACAGGTGGGGTGTTTTGGCATTTAACCCATTGCTGGGATGGCATTCCACAAAAACGACAGGCACTATGCATTTGGCCAGGTGTGACCAAGGGCACAACCAGGAGACCCTGTTCAAGGCCCACACACAGACTCTCTAGGGTTTCAGGAGGGAGGGGCACCAACTTTGTCCTGCTGGTGGCTTTAGGGAGACTCACAGGGACAAGTTTCCCCACTCTAGGGGTTAGGTCACTGTCTACCTCACACAGAGTCTTTGGTTTTGTCTGGTGCTCCCGCTTCCCCAGGCCCTCAGTAGTGCTCCTCGATCCTGAACACCAAGGCCACTCAACTGGGTTGCTCCCTTCTGTGAAAGGACAGGCCCTCTCGGCCCAGGGGGAGACCTTCCAGGTCACTCAGCCTTCCTACCGTCCTGGGAAAATAAGCCACAGTTGGGAGGGTGGAGCCTTACTCCTGGTGGACACCTCGGTCAAGTGCATTTGGGTCAATTGCAGGTTAGCAATTATCTGCAACCAAAAATAGGCCCTGTATCCTATTTACTGCCCTAAGTATTGCCTCCTGGCCCCTGAGACCATCCCCAGGTTCCTGGGGCCACCTGGGTTCTTTGGCTCAGTCAGCTACCTAGACGCTGGGTATTCACCAGGGCAGAGTGGAACATGGGGGTCCTCAGAACATTGCTCCCTCCCCCACTTCCTTTCCTCACCCCTCGAATCTCTCCCTCCTTTTACTGTCTCCTGGGGGTTGTTACTCTTCCTGGAGCAGGGGCTCTTGGTCCCCTTCCTGCACCCTCTCCTCCTCCTCCCGCTCTATGCAGCCCACGGTGGCAGCCAAACCAGCTCCCACACCACCCCCGACCACAGCTGCCCCTGTGGCTCCCACCGCAGCTCCAGCTGCCACCATCCCAGCCTCTGCAGCCAGTGCCGCTGCGGCCATGCCTGCACCCACCACACCCCCAGCCAGGCCCATGAGCCCAGCCCCCACAGCACCCCCCACGGCAGCCAGGTGGCCACAGAAGCGCATGGTGTAGGTGTCCATGAAGGCCTTGGCCTCTGCCTGCAGCTCAGCCTCCAGGACCTCCAAGGCTTGCTCCCTCTCCTGGCACAGCAAGGCCGCTCCATGGCGAGCCAGGATGGCATCTTTCTGGGCAGAGAGGAAGTTCCTCATGGTCTCAGGCAGGACCCGGAGCGCAGAGAATATGCGCTTGGTGGCCACATCCTATGCCAGGAGGAGAAAGAAGGAGCCTTGACCAGGATACTTGGAGCCCTCTCCCACTATGGGCTCCCCCAGCTGGACACCTGGCCCCTGTGTGGGCCTGGGGGGCTCACCTGCTGCCGCACATATTCCTTAAACTCCTTCTTGGCAGCTTCCAGCATCCGCAGGTCGTGCAGCTGGGCAGCCATCTGACCACAGAAAAAGCCAGGCTGCCTTCCACTTCCTCCCCAGATCCCAGGGTGCACCAGTTTGCCTCCCTCCCGGCCCCCTGGGTCCTTCAGGGAAGCTCTGTACCTCATCTGGAGAGGCAAAGCCAGGCCCTGTCCTGCCCATCCAGCCCGAGAGGTTCTGCAGAAACATCATCAGAGGATCAGGGAGGGTAGAGGGCCAGCAGGCTCCCCTGTGTCTCCGGAGAGTTTTCACACCTTGATTTCCTGAGCTAACTGCTGCCCTGTGAGCAGGCGGCTGTCCCCTCTGGCCACGGGGCGTCCCTCACTCCAGTACCCCTGGCAACGGCTCTTGGCATGCTGGGGGGCAGCGCTCAGCACATCAGCAATGTAGGCTCGCAGGTGACAGAAATCATCCTCTGTGTCTGCAAAGAAATTTCTCATGCTCAGGAGATGGGACTGAGCAGGACTGGGCTTCAGTGGGGAGAAAGAGTGTCAGAGGCTGGGAGACAGGGGCCAGTGTGCAAAGGATCTGGCCCTCCAGAGGAGCACAAGCTGAGGAGGCCTTTGCTGCTGGGAACACTTACCGCCCAGGGTTCCCTGGTCTCCACTGGCCCAGCGTCTCCTTGGGGCAGGCAGGAGGTAGCAACGGGCTTGCTGCCCTTGTAGCAGCTCCCGAACCCTGGGGTATTTGCCAGATTTCTGAGAGATGGATGAAGAGATCCCTGAGCTAGTGGTCCAACCACATTCCTAGCTTACCTACAGGATCCCTCACCTTGACCTGTCCACCCCCTTCCCTCTACACACTCACCTGGAGGACATCACCCACATGCCCCTGCCCTGCCTTGTTGGGATGGAATGAGTCACGAACTAAGAGATCCAGGTGCTGGAAGAGAAGGGGTCCTGACACCAGCAGCCGGGGAGGGGTGTCTGGGTCTGAGCAATGAGTCCAGAAATAGGCATCTCACCTGTATTGGCACCATCCCATAATGCCTGCCCATCACCTCGGCCACATGGACAAACATCTAGAGGTGGGACAATGAAGGTCACAGCTAGGCCTCTTCATGGTCGATGCCTCCCTTCCACACTGGGCCCACTGTGCAAACCCAGCTCCCAGCTCCCAGCTCCAGGCCTCTCCAGCCTCCCGCCAACCAGGTGTCCGTGCTGCATTCTCTGCCTCACACCAACCAACCCAGTTCCAAGTCATGGGATCCTAGGCCAGAACTGGAAAGCACCTCATTCTGGCTTGGTGCAGTCCTCTAGCCTCATGGTCAAGGCAGGGACCGGGGCACCCCAACACCAGATGTCTCCTCACCTCCAGGTATTCTAGGTCTGTGTCTTTCAGCTCCTGGGAAGTGTTGAGGATCTGGAACCAAGGAGAACAAGATGGAAGAGGATCTGTAAAGGCCCTCTTTAGTACCTCCCAGAGATACTGGGAAGACCTCAGTGAGGGTCTTAGGACCTTGGAGAGCCCAGCCAGGGGTCTCCACAGCCTGCAGAGCAGCTGGCTGTGAGGGATGGAAGGCAGGTGAGGGAGTGATCCTGCAGAGCTTCAACTGCCCCTCCCTCCCCTGGGGGAACTTCCACCCACCTTTAGAACAAGCAATGTTCCCACCTTCACCAACTGGGGGCATCCTTCCTTTGGAGGGGCACTCCCAGAATTTGCAGGGACCCTGGACACAAAAGCCTTCGAGATACAGTGACCGCCCCCTATGCTCTCAGGGCTAGACCCAGCCGAGATGCCCCAGGTTTGCAAAAAGCTGAGCTGGAGTAGGACACCAGATCACAGCGCCCCCACCTGGTAGGAGCTCAGCATCATGGTGAGGGCACAGAGCTTGGTCCTTGTTTCCCGGCTCAGTTCAGGGCTCATAGCGTCCCCCGTGTCCACCAGGAACACAGCCACCTGTGCAGCGGCAGGGGACGAACCGAGGGGTCAAGCCTGTCTCAGTACCTCGGGCCACCCCGTCTTCTTGTCTTTGCCCCAGGGCTTTCATTGCCATCCACCTCCCTTTTGTCCATCTCTGCTCTCTCTTCCCTTCCTCCCTGACCCACTCTTGACTTTCCCTGCCCTTCCTCCCCTCACCTTCCTCCCCTCCTTCCCCAGCAGGAAGGGGTGGCTCCACATCCAAATGCCCCTGCTGAGGCTGCTGGCGCCCCATCGGGGCCCCTGCAGGGAGCCCCCTCCTCTCAGCCAGCCGCCTTCGCTGGACTCCTGCAGGACAGAGAACATCGATGGATGCATCCAGTCCCCATTCCGCTTCCAAAGCCAGCCTGGGACCCTTCACCTGCCCCAGCCCCTGCACGAGCCCGCCCTCACCGGGCCCGGCAGCCCCTGGAGCAGGCAGTCGAGGAGGAAGGTTTTTCCTGAGTGCTGCTCCCCCAGAACGGCAAGGAGGCAGACGGGGGTATCCCTGGCCAAGGGGTGTTTCAGGCAGCGGTTGATGGCCCCCATCCGCAGAATGAGGCCTCCGGAGGCGCTGATTCGCACCAGCAGCAAGGGCTCCGTCCTCGCGGCACAGGCCTCCTTGCCGGGAGAGAGAAGGGCTAAGTCTGGAGTGTGTCCGGCCCCGAGCTCCCTTTCTCACACTGACATCCAAGGATGGGGCCAGAGCTACACACCCCGCCCTCGGATCGACCGGGTCTCCCACGCCGCCCTCGCCCTCGCCCCGCCTGGAGGAGGCCTGGTACCAGACCTGCGCAGCGGAGGGCGGCGGCCCCCGCAGCAGGCCCTTCATCTTGTCGCGCAGACCGCGAAGGCCCTTCCTGCGAGCGCAAGCCTCGCGGCACTCGGGGCAGCGGGGCCGTTCGCCGCCGGGCGGGCGGTGCGTGCTGAAGCACCGAGCGCAGAAGTCGTGGCCGCAGTCCAGCGAGACCGGCTCGCGCAGCCGCTCCAGGCAGATACCGCAGGCCGGGGGCTCTCGAGGCGCCACGGGCCGGGACCCCAGGCCCAGCTCCAACTTGGGGAATGGTGTGTGGGACCTGCGGGGCGGCACGGGTCGTTTGAGAGCAGCATGTGGGGTGCAGGGTGTACAGGCCAGGAATTGAGCCAGCAGGCTGTGCCTAGGGAAGCTGCGTTCTGCCTGTTCTGCCCGTTCCTCTCTGGCTTGCATCCCAGAGCCTGAGGACCCCAGCGTGGGGGCAGCAGAGCCTGGGGAGAGGAACCCGGGGAGGGAGGCAGCCTGGAACGGATGAAATTTGGCTCTGCCGTACCACCAAGTACAACCGTGGGCAAGTTTCTCCCCCATTCGGGCGCCAGTGTCCTAACCAGAGGAAAGGGGAGCAGCGCCTGCCTCCTGGGGCCGATGGAGTGATCTGAGGAGAGGGTTCGTGCCAGGCGCTGGGCAGGCGCTGCGCATGCACACTCTCCTGTGTCTGGCACAAATGCTCGCGAAAACCCTCACCCAAGGCCTCCTGCTGCCAGGGGTTCCTCAAGGAGTTACTGACCCGGCTGGACAGCTTAATGAGTGATCCCTTCTACAGCCTCCTACAGCGACTTAAACACACCGGCGGTGGGACTGCAGGGAGAGCGTGGGAGAGCGTGGGAGCCCCCTGGTGGTGGGGCAGAAGGCTCTGGTCCTTAAAAGATTCTTTCCACTCTCCCACCCCGAGCTGGAATCGGCCTCTTTGCAGCATCCACCCGATTTCCCTGTCCCCACCCCCCTCCAATACTGGCAGATCCAGCCTTGAGCTCCCTCCCCTGGGACAGCCACAGCCTCGTGTTCCTGGACCAAGCGACCTACAAGGCCCATTGCCGGGGTCCTCCCTCAGGCCCTGCCACTTACCAACTGTTGCTGTGGTTTCCCATGAAGCTCTGCTTTCTCTCCTTGAAGAGGAAATTTTGGGGAAAAATAACAACAAAAAACCCCGTCAGTTTGAAAAGAACCCAGATGTCTGTCTTCATCTCAGGTTTTAGCAGCCTCTCACCCCTGTCTGCATGCCCACCCGTCCCCAGGCAGCCCCTTCCCACCCCCACCCCTTTTCCCAAATCTGAGGAGAAGACTTGCCTGTTTGCCAAACCAGTGACAGAAGGAGATAACAGACAAGGCGGACCGGGGCATGGGAGGCTGGCAGTGGGGAGTGGGTCCAGAGCCGAGGGCGGAGGCCCCTGGGGCCTTCAGCAGCAGTAAGACTGCAAGGGCTGCTGAGCTGTGACAGGTGGAGGGTGTGGGGGGATGGTCTCCCCTGAGCAGCCAACTCGTCAGAGCTGAAAAATAGATGTGACAGTCGGGAAAGAGGAGGCTGCCTCTGGACTCACCCCAGGGGGAGGAGAGAGGACTGCAGGAACCAGGGCTCTGGAGGAGGGAGGGACAGAGCCAGGCTCAGAATCCCTGGCAGAGGCTGAGATGCAGGCAAGCTGAAGTGGTGAGTCACCATGGAGACGGGAAAAGATAAGAACAGGGAGGGGGAGGGCGCTTGCTCCACACAAATTCAAAGCTCCGGTTATGAAGTATTTCCAGATTGCGACTGCAGAGCACTGCCCCCTGGGCACAGAGACCTCTGCGGACTGGCCCCGAGTGATGACACTGGTCACACTCCCAAGAGGCCAGCCCTGGTCACCCTGGCTGCTTCGTGAACAGCAGGTTAGGAGGACAGGGCTGGAGGTGGGCAGGAGGCCAGGCTACAGGGAAAAGCCCCAACCCAGACCTGGGCACATGAGGGGCCTCACCATGAGGGGCTGGCAGGGGGGAGGGGAGCAACCCCACGCCCAGAGCTGTGCTGGAGAAAGGTCTCTCGACCTGCCCTTCACTCTCGGGGCCTCTCCTGGGCTCTGGGGAGAAGGGCTTGCCCGGGGAGGCTGGCTGTGGGGGTCAGGCATGGATGGCCCATCATAACTACTAGGCTCCACAGGCTTGTGAGCACTTCTAGTCTTGGGGGTGATTGAAACCTGAAGAGAAAACAAGAGTCTCAAATCGACAAAAAGAAAACTTTGAAGTCAAAAGTAATACATACCTCTTAATTCAGTGTCAGCTACCCCTCATATGATGTCATCCGGCCAACTCAGCAATCATTGTCTTCCGTGAAGTCAGAGTCAAATCATGAGTCGACAAATGCCCACTGAGCACCTGCCTGGTGCCAGGCTCTGAGCTGGGTTCTGGGGTGTCAGGACTTTGCTGTTAAGTGTTTATACACAATAGTAAGCAATTGGTTCTTATCAATAAAATTCAACATTGTAAAGGTTATTTAAATCCTCTTTTAAAAATTCATGGGAAAAATGTGGGCTATGGGCAACACTCATTTTGATGTATTTGCTCCGATGTGGAGGGAGGTCCCCCAAGGTCAAAGGGCCAGATCCATGCCAAGTTCCTGAGGCTGGTAGGTAGGTAACCCCCAACACAAGTGGACGAGCAGGTTGGCCCAGCCCACCTGCATGGGGACCACACTGTCTGGAGAGGAAAGGGGGCTCCTTGTTTCCCAATGAGGGTGAGGAACCCATGCAGGCCCTCCATGGGGCTCTAACCTACCCCAGGAACTCATGGGGACAGGAAAGGCCACAGTGAGCCAGGCCCAGCCCTGTGAGATAGACAGACCGCCGGGTACATCTGGGGGCTGAGAGGGGACATTAGTGAGAACAGAATCGACAGAGAAGGGACTGGGCAGGAGGGTGGTCCTGGGTTCCAGGAACTTGAGCCATGGGGATGGTGTGAACCTTGGGCCCTGCAGACAGACTCATTCATTATTTCACCCATTTGTCCGTTCATTCCCCCCACAAACACCGGGTTCCTCCCTCCCTGTGAGCCAGGTTCTGGAGGCCCAGCCCAGGCCACTCACCTAAGCTCTGGCTTCAGCTTCTGAGCTGGAAGGAGGTGAAGGGCTAAGGTCACTTTTGGAAAAACCAGCGTCAGCAGCCAAAAATACAGTCTCTCAGACTGAAACCCCATTTGGGGCAGCTTCCGAGTCCCCTGATGCAGGCAGGAGCTGCTTCACACAAGCAAGTGCATGTACTCAGTCACCTGTCTATCTAGTCATCCCCTTTCACGACCTCCCACGCGAATTCACACACATGCAGGGTGAAAATACTCCTGCTTCCCCACACTGTGTACACACCCACCTTCACTGCTCTTGTCTCTATACACCCCCAACTCAGGCACGTGCCCATGGTGTGTATAGGTTCACACATGTGCTCACTCATTAACACTCCAATACAAACACCCTGCTCATGCACCAAGGCCCTCACACTCATGCACATTTACACAGGTGCTCACACTCCCTCCCTCCCTTATGCATGCAAACATATCACACACTGTTGCTGTTCCAAGCATGCACACAAACTTGCACTCGACAACACAACCTGTGAAGGAGGCACTGTGTTCCACAAGAGGAAACTGAGGCCAGATGTTCAATCACTTGCCCAGGGCACACAGGTAGAATCCAAAGCCATGCAGTCGGACTCCCACATTACATTCTGTAGTTTCCTTAGGTGGCAGAACTCATGTCAACTATGTTAACAAGCACGGAAAGAGTGTGTAGTCTTGCTGTATCTCAGTCACTTGCCTCAGGGGGTAGAAAACTTGGCCCAGCCATTCTGTGTAGAATCAGGATGGTTCTGGCCCAGCTTGCTGTGAGACCTTGGGCAAACCACTGACGTTCTCTGGGCCTCGGGTTCCTGATGTGTAAATGGAGGGGGGCTTGGTGAGTCCAGAATTCCCTCCTGAGGAACTGTTCTGCTCCTCTTCCACCTTACTGGCCTGGAAACGTCCAAAGGGCATGGGGCAGCTGGCCCTCACCAGGAACCGGGGGTGCTGGTGAGCACTGGATCTCTCCCCATCCATTCCTGCTGTCTGAAGCCTGTCCCTTCTCTGTGCTCCTGGGAAACACCTGGATGCCTCTAGCTCTGCCAGTGAGGCCCAGGCCACAGGCAGGGGATCACCCCGGCCGCTCCAGCCAGTGGCAGCCTGCTGCAGCTCCAAAGCTGTTGCACCTTCCCCAGGAGGGCCAGCTCTCTGACTCTGCCGGCCTCCATCCAGCTGCCCAAGGGCTCTTCCTACTGGTTGAGTGGCTGGGAAAATGAGGGAAACAAGCTCAGACTTGGGACCCTGGGGCTGAGGTGACAACACCCTGCCACCACACTCTGAACCCAGTGGCACCATTCTCCACTTCTCCCTCCCAAGCTCCTCACTTGGAGGATGAGCAACCAGGTCACCTCAGCACCCCAACAACTCCTTCCACAATATCTCTCCCCAAAGGTGAACAGCTCTCTCGGACTATGGCCGAGGCATGGCTCCTGTCACTCCTCGTTTTCTGTTTCTCTCCCAGAGCTGCTTTCACCTCCACAGTCTCTCCCGAGGCCCAAGTGCCACTCCTAGACCCAGAGGCCTGTGAAAGTTTCCAAGGCAAATGTTCCCACGAGACCCCAGAGACCCTGACCGCTGGGCAGCCTGTGCTGTGTGCTGATCCCACCTGGGGTGTCCCTGATTTCTGCCAGGTGGCTGAGGGGTTCACCACCCCCACCCTTCCACCTACCCATCCATCCGTCCATCCAGTGATCTGTTTTTATTCTTCCATCCATACTACAAATTTTTATTGAGCAGATACACCAGGCATTATGCTGGCCCTGGGAGTGGACTGGTAAACCCTCAGGGCACTTCCAGTCTAATGAGGAAGACACACAGGTCTTAGGCCAGGCCTGGGGAAAGAGCTCTCTGAGGAGGGTCGTTGAGAGCAGACATGGAAGGACCAAGCAACGGCACCGCGCTTGGACCTGAACATCTGGGAAGGTCTCCACAAAGCAATGCCCAAGCTGAGCCCAGAAAACGGATCTGACTTGGTCAGCAAAGATATGGAGGTGAGAAGACATTTCTAGCAGAAGGACCAGCATCTCAAAGACCCAGAGGTACAAGACAAAGAGCCCCGCTGGAGTAAGGCTTGTGAGGCAAGGGGAGATGGGAACAGGGGTCCAGGGCAGGCAGAGGCGTGTCATCCCTCAGGTTCTGCCCCATAGTACTCTCCTGCAGGGCTCAGGAAGAAGGTCACATCCTGTCAAGCTAATGCCCTCCGGGTACTGTCCGGGTTGCAAGCTGGACACAGGGGGTGCTGCAGTGCCCCCAGCTGCCCTGGTACCCATGCCAGCACGGCTGCCTCCACGCCCTGGACCGTCACCCTGGCCCCAAGGGGCAACAGGATGTGTTCCCCACACCCTGCAGACCCCCTGACTGGCCTTGCTGTTGCCCTGGCCCTGAACAAGGTGCCTCTGTGCCAGAACCCCTTGTGCAGGCATCAGAGGCCTGGCCTGAGCAGCTGGGCCCAAGGGCTCAGGCCTGTTTTGGGTGATGAAGGAGCAGGCCTTGAAGTGGGACAAGTTTCAGACCAGAGATGGCAAAGCTGGAGGGAGGCGCCAGCTCCCTAGCAGCTTCCATATTTGGCTGGCATCTTTCAGTTTTGAACAGAGACCCAGATAAGGCTGGGCATGGCCTGAATCCCCATAAGGTTCTGACTTCCAGGACAGTCCCTCCAGGACCATCCATCCCCTCCCATCACAGATGGCTCCAGTCCTGAGTCAGCTCCTTGGACTGAAAGGTCCATTCCAGGCTGTGGTCCAGGTTCCCAAGACCCTGCTGAGTTGGCAAAGCTGCTGTCAGCTCACTCAGGCTCCCAGGCATGAGGCCACATGTGCCCCATCCCACCGATGGCTCTGGTTACAAGTGGTGTCTACTTCGGACCTCTGCACTCAGAGCTGGTGGGGGGCATTTGGCAGAGGGACATGGAGGCCAGTCCCTGCACTCTGTAGCTGGGCAGACGTTGTTCCGATGCCAGAGAGGCCAGGCCCGAGTGTGGCTGCTCCTGGCCCTGACCGACCATTCCACCTAGCCCCACCCCCTCTCCTGCTGGCCAGCTTCCAAGGGCTTCCCATGGGCAGCTAGAGGGAAGTCTGAGTTCCCCAGCTTCCTTCCAAAGCCCCAAAACCAATTCGATCCAGGCTCCCTGAAATAATTTTCAAAATAAAACATCAACCAACATTCGCTTAGCAATGCAGGGCTCACAATGTGTTGCAAATGAGCTGCCTCAGCCAATTCTCACAGCACAGTGACGACTGGCTCTGGTTTTTGAACAGGGAGACAGGCGTGGACAGCTGAGGAGAACCTTCCAGTGGCAGCCCCAGAAGGAAGACTCGGGTACCCTGGCCCCTAGGACTGTGCCGCCCCCTCGCCACGGCCACTGTGTGCCAGGTTTGCCCTAGCCCAAGGGTCTCCCAGCATGCCAAGCTCCACACCTTTGCCCCTGCCCTTCCCTCACCTAGAATGCCCTCACCATTCTCAGCCAGCTTCACGTAGGCTCAAACTTCTTGGAGGGAATGAATGTGCCCCATCCTCTCTCTCCTCCTGGCTCTTCCTCCTGTTTTGGAAATGCCTGGAACTGAATTCAGGGGCTACGACTAACTGACAGAGTCCCCACCCCCAGGAGCTCAGAGGCAGCGGCTCCCCAGCCTAGCGGGTGCTGGTGCAGAAGTCCAAGGAACCGTCGGATCCCCGGGGGGAAGCCACTCTCCCAGACTTGGGAGCCACTGAGGCCCAGTCTTACAGCACCAGTGAGAATTAAGCCCTTCATGGGAGGTGCTGGGACAGTCTCAGCACAGGAAACAACAGGCACAAAGGCCAGCACAAGGTGAGGGCCAGAGTTGCAAGTGTGGAGGCAAGGAGAGGGAACCAAGGCTGTGGCCCCTGAGCACAGCTCTCGGAGAGCCATGTGGCAGATTTTAGACTTTCCCTGCATGACACTGGGAACCATGTACAGTTTTAAGCAGGATGCGTGTGATCGGATTTGTGTCCCTGAATCATGACTTCGCCCAGCGGATGGAGCGGAGGGCCCCTGGTAGTTTGGATGGCCACTCCCCATCAGGGGCCTTTGAGTCCCCTACCCAGTCCTCTATGGATAGACATCTAGAGGGGCTCTAACATCAGGCTATAACCAGCATATTGCGTTGGAGCAGCGGTGGGGGAGCGCCCCCTCCCCACCCCCCGGCGCTGACTCGCAGTCTGACAGGCTCGTGGTGCATTCTTGGATGAAATGATGCCAAAGCAGGGTTGTAGAGGCTGAGGCCTGTTTTTAAGTTTACAACAGATGCTT